ACATCATCTACATCAAAATTTAGGTTTGTGTTACTATGCGCTTGGTCAGATTACGTATTCTATCACATGATATTTAAAACTAAGACATTAACGTTGACGCAATTCCGGTTGGTTGATTTACACAAAATAGTCACGTGGGTACATGGCTTTAGACGACCACTGGTATTGGATGTTAAAATGATTATCACTAACGCCAATATATTTTGGTATATATACGATTTTTTTGCGATACATTTCTTAGCTTTTTTAGGGTTAGGATTTAGGTTAAAGTCATTAGTACGTAAGAGTATTTTAGTGGTTTTAATATGGTTCACGTCACTTATAACGTAGTCATCAAAAGAAATTCATATAATTTCGAATAACATTTTGAAGTATTAAAGGTTAAATAAAATTAATTTCTCAAATTTCGGATTAAATATCATTTTTTTCTTGGTAATATTAAAATTTTGGGAAGTTTGAGAAAATTTGATGAGTATACGTATAGGGGATGTGAGTCACAGGTTATATTTTCAAGATTAATTAATAAACTTATTAACAGTTTTTGGCAAATAAAACATTCTCTTTCTAAATGTAACCCTTCGAGATATCCGAGAAATATGCTCTTTCTTATTAGACCATCGCATACAGTTTAGAGTTAATGGTTGCTAATCTTAACGTTAATTGACGTTAATTGTCAGTAAGGCTCTGCAAGTGTCAGCATGTGCCCCATTAAAATATAGTACCAGACACGTGCATGGGCGCTATGTTTTAATAGCACGTGTACCGGTCTAACGTCAATAGTTATTCCGTCGGCATATATTCCATATCGACATAGAAACCTCTTGAAAATTCTAAGCGCAGGTATCATAATCTGGATTTGGTATTCTGTTCGTTACACCGCTATTGTTTCCGCTTTTTCCGGCATATTTTGCATAAACGCAATACTGAGAGCAACGCACCGTCTTTATATTCATCTCTTTTGAGGCTTTTGGAATCACTCAACACAGGTGGTCATCGAGACTAAAACAATTGCCTATAGCCTTTAAACACATCAAACTTTTGAAACGTATTACATTGCGAATTGTCTGATTTTTCAAGGGTAATTTCGTGTCTTTCGGTTCAAATGATTAAGTATCCACGCACAGGCAAATTTGTCTGCGAACACATTACCGCAGTGTTGTCATATCAAAACTGTATAATACTCATTATCTTATGCTAATAGCAGGTGAATTCACATGTTACTAGATGTTACTAGTCGTCATCTTGTAATAATTTGACAATACGTACGTACGTACGTATAAAAATGCATATTGTTATCTGACAGGTATGACGTACTATACTGACAGGAAACTTTTCATATTACTACCGCAGGTTTTTTTATATTAAATGTTACGGCTGATGCTGAAGTTTGGCTGATGTTGAAGCTAAAAAATCTGATTGGCTAAATTTTGCAGATCACCCTAACCCTAACCAATCAGATTTTTTAGCTTCAACATCAGCCAAACTTCAGCATCAGCCGTCACATTAAATAAGTCCGAATCGTACCAGATAAAATCGTGATATCATAAATCAGAGTGCATTGTTTACTAAAATGGGGAATAAAAAAAATCGTGATATCATAACCATAGTGACCAAGTATACAGCCAAAAAAATATTTAGAGTATGCATTTATGGAGAACAAGATATACAGATACCTACACAGGACTTTTACATGTAGGGACTAAACTATAACATGTAATTTATGGAGAATTTATACTGTGCATTTCGTGCATTTATAGCGTGCATTTAAGGAAGAGTTACTCATTCGATACGCAGCTTATTATAATAAATAACAAGCTATTTTGGCGATGATTAAGTCATATGCTAAAAAAAACATTTTTGTATAACATAAATGTCGCAAAAAATTAAGTCATTGTTAGTAAATTTAAAACCAGATAATGAAATATTATTCTATTATTGCAATAATTATGTATTATATTATTTAATTAAACCAAGGATTTAGAAGTAAATTGTCGCCCTGTCATTTTTTTTCTAACAGTTATATGAGACCATGATTACATTGTTTAAAAAATCATGATGACACGATTTGGACGTCTAAAATTTCTGCTTTTGGCGCTCATATCTCATACGTAACAATAATCTGACGTATCAGTATTATATAAAATTAGCATTGTTTACTAAAATGGAAATACAAAGCAACAAATCTTGGAGGTTCAAAAAAACTTTGGGACAAATGTGGATGTTCGGAATAAAACTGCGTGACATGCGGAATAAATTCTACGAGCTTAAAAGTATAAATAATGGTAGAGTTAATTTCATGATTTTGTTAGTTTTGTTCAATATCAATTTTCAATATCATTTTTTTTTCGCTACAACAATGTCAACAGATATTATTAAACCACGCTTAGTAACAGATATTTTGATAAAAATTTTTAAAATTCTTGGTGTTCACGATTTGCTTTCAGCACTTTTAGTTAATCGAGAATGGTGCCAAGTTGCTGTTCCAATATATTGGAGAGCTCCATTCAGTTATAAGAAAAAACGAAGCATGCTCGCATTAAAAATTTATCGTTTATTTCTTGAACAACAAGAAAACGATACGATTCATTCGTCTCAAACTACAATTAAAACCCTTCCAACGCTTTACGATTATCCATTTTTCCTTAAAGAACTCAACTTTACAAACCTATTAGAACTTGATAAAGATATTACAAACGTTGATGCAATACTTAAAATGCTAACAAGTCGTGAAATCCGTCTAACTACTTTTATTATGGATAATACCGGCACAAACAATGATAAACTTTACGGTTTATGGACAAAATCATGCTATGCTCCAATCATAAGTTCTCTTGTTCATGTCGAAATATATACTCCTTTTCCAAAAAATTGTGTCATAAAGGCGTTAGCTGATAATTGTTCCAACCTGGTATGCTTAAGTTATTTTTTGTGTATTAACACAATAATCTCTTATAGTAAATATTAAATATATTTCATTTTCTCTAGTCTCATCTCGATATTAATCTTTACGATAACCATACTGTCCGCGTTGTAGAATTGATCAATGATCTTAACCGATTTTTCTCTAATCAGAAACTCCTTTTAAATCTTCGATTAGTATTTCCCAAGGGCCCTGGAAATTTGCTAATTAAAGTATTGAAATCTCGACTTGAATCCTTTAAACATCTTGAACTCGCAAAGTGGAACTTTGCTGATTGCGATTGGAAATGGTTGAAAAAATGTCCAAACTTGACTGAATTTGCAGTAACAGACCCTCAAACTCAAATTTCAGACATTTTAGGAATTGAATGCGAACTTCATCGCTTCAAAGTATCAAAAAATTCCAAAATTACAACTATTCATTGGTTTTTGGACAATAAGAACAAAAAAGACAATAAGGACAATAAAATTTCTTCCGAATCAACCTTTTATTTCCATCCTAAAAAACCTCCTGCAGAACCATATCATGATGAAACCTTAGAAGAATCTTTACAATCTTTAATAATTTAAATTATAATCATATCACAATTTTCCCCGTTATTTTTTTTTTTTTTTTTTTTTTTTTGCAAAACCATAATGCAAACATTTACTTAATTACAATTTAGAAAGTTTTCGTTATTCTGTCATATTAAAAAAGAACTTTATATAATTATATAACTAGTTACTATATTTATTTATCACATTTATCAAATTCTTATTTTACTTATTCAAAAAAATGTATCATATTCATAATATTCATAAAATAAAATAGAATAAAATCATACAATAACACAGTAGAAAAAAATCCGATATATTTGCACTAGAATATTTTCAATATTAATTTTTGCTTTTACTACATTGCTAAAATTACTTAAATGTATGTATGAAACATAATGAAATACATTTAGAAATGGACAAGTGAAGTAAGTAAATTAAATATCATGTGACAGCATAGCAGAAGTTCGTTTTGATTGGCTAAAATTAAAATAAATATACTGGCAACGATAATTTTTTTATCTAGTTAACTGTAATTTTTAAAATCCTTTTATTAGTAAAAATCATCACAGTAATACAACCAACTTGAGTCGTTAATTTTACCTTGAAATTTATTGTTTTTTAACTTGAGATGCAGTAAGATGCAACAGTTTCAAAAACTAGATAAGAAATGAATATTTTTAAATGTTGGAAGTGTGTCGGAAGGTGATTCGACGACCTAAGTAATCGGTAAGTAAAAGTTGTGAGATTTCGTCTTAACTAGTTTTACTTGATCGTTACAATTAGAGTTCTGTATGTACCCATGTCAGGCACATTAGGTACTATACCGGGCACTAATATCTATGGTATGCCTATATTATAGATACAGGAGTGCTAGTTTAAAAAGTGCTTGGCACTTAGTGCCATCCTTAAAAAAAGTGTTTGGCACTTAGTGCCATGTCTAAAAGTGTTTGGCGCTTAGTGCCATCTCTAAAAGTGTTTGGCGCTTAGTGCCATCTCTAAAAGTGTTTGGCTTAGTGCCATGTCTAAAAGTGTCTGGCACTTAGTGCTATGTCTAAAAGTGTTTGGCGCTTAGTGCCATCTCTAAAAGTGTTTGGCTTAGTGCCATGTCTAAAAGTGTCTGGCACTTAGTGCTATGTCTAAAAGTGTCTGGCACTTAGTGCTATACCTAAAAAAGTACTATGCTTAAAAAAGTGCCATGTCAAACAAGTGCCTGACACTTAGTGCTATATCTAAAAAAGCGTCATGTCTAAAAAAAATATTATTTTAAAAACGTATTATGTTTAAAAAAATGCTATATTTAAAAAAGTATTATTACCAAGTACTAAGTACCATGACTATAAATAGCTTTAACACTTTTAAATATAGCTGTGTATCTTTATTATGCAATTTAAATAATTTAATATTTGTTAACAAGTTTAAAAAAATCTTAAGTTTTTTTAATTAAAAATATATATTATAATATACTATATATATTGTATTGTTTTTTATATTTAGGTGAGGTTTTGTTTCTAGTTTTTATTAGTATATATAATTCTATACAACCTTGTTGCTTAATCATATATTTTACTATAATTATGATAAATTACAAAGTTTTAGATAATTATTTATAATCTAAACCTACCAGAGTTGTCTTATGGCTGGAACTAAGGGGAGCGAGGCGAAAGTCTTCAAGCCTTATTCTATTGAATTTTAAGAATATCCGGCTTCTGCTTTACTTGATCCAAATTGAATCTAAATTAGGTTCAACGTTTGGATACCAAAATCTTGGTTAAAATATTATAGCTGACTTTTAATAAGAATAGTTTATCAGTTGGTAATAAAAATTACTCTATATCATCATCATAATTGGCTGGAGCTGAGAGGAGCAAAGTGAAAACCTTCAAGCTATACTCTATGAATTTTCAGAAATATCTGGCTCCCAATTACACTGACTCAAATTTTAGGTTTATGTATCCAGAAATTGAACCTAAATCGGGTTCAACGTTTGAATACCGAATTCTTAATAGCTAATTTTTAATAGAATATATTAACTTTTAATAAATTATATGTAAAATATGGTAGCTAACTTTTAATAGAATATATTAACTAACTTTTAATCTTTTATATATAAAATATAGGATTTAATTTATAGTGCTATAGCATTATGGTGCTAGGGTGTTGTGACCAATTAAAATTTAAGATCAGGTGTAACATGCAGATCACCTTTTTGTGTAACAAAAATAATGAATTTTTAAAAAATTATTTATATCTCAAAATTTTGATTAAAAAACCTTAAGCTATGTCTTGCCTAACCTTAACTTCAACTTTAATCTAAATCTAATTAAAAGTTTATTTTTTGTAATATACTAGATTGTTTTGATTTACATATTACACTAATTTTATATTTACATATAGGGTAGCACTACGGTGCTATAGTACTATAATAATATTTCTATAAAATATAGTAGCTAACTTTAATAAAATATATTAACTAATTTTTAATAAATTACATATAAAATATAATAGCTAACTTTTAATAATAATAAAAAAAAATTGTTTATCAGTAAAAATAAGAATTTATATTGTTATAAATATGTTATTATTTCATAAATAAGTATATTTAATAATTTGGGTATATGATGAAAAAATTTTCTGTTATTTTCATATATTCAATATTGATATTATTGTTTATATTATATTAGTATATAAAATTTTTTGTCATGATATCTTGCATAAATGATAATGTTATTTTATAACAAAAATATCAAGATAAAAATATTTATATAATTATATTACATGAACAATAAGTAAAAGAAAATGTTGTGATATTCTCTTTTTAATTTAGTCAAAATAGAAAAGCAAAAAAGAATTTATATACCCAAACAAATAGACATAAAAAATAGAACTTAAAAAAAAACAAAAAAAATTTAATAACTAAAGAAAGCTAAAAAAGTGAATTAGAAAAGAAATAGGCTTGCTGCAAATATCAGTTAAAATCTCATATCAATAATATTAAAGTGAAAGAGAATATAAATCAAAATTAACAAACAAATAATAAAGGTAGTCTAAAAAAATTTTATATTTAAATCAAATTTTGAATAAAATAATTAAGTCTATAATGTAATAAATTATTTTAGAAAACAAAATATCATTGTAATCTCAAAAAGTTTCAAGATACTATCACAGATCTTAAGCAGAGTTATTGCCTTACTTATAATCTTTTTTTAGTTATTGGCTGAAGATAAAAGAAGCAAAGTGAAAGCCTTTCAAGCTTTACTTTACTAAATTTTTGAAAAGTTTGGTTTTTACTTTATCTTAATTCAAATTTTAGATTTAATAACTAGAATTGTATCAAATTCAAGTTAGATTCAATATTTAGATATTTAAATTTTGAGTTAAAATATAATAGTTAACTTAATAGAATATATAACTGATTTTTAATAAAACAAATTGTTTATTATACTCTATTAAATTTTAGAAATATCTAGCTTTCACTTCACTCTAACTAAAATTTTAGATTTACTATCAAAATCAAATTTAAATTAGATTTAATATTTAGATATTTGAATCTTGAATTAAAATATTTTGAGTAGTTGAATATATATATATAAACAGAATTTGTAGTAAAATATAATCAACTATATCAATCATACAATACAACTCTCCCTGACGATTACTTGTACCAACTAGTCTCTGAAAGCAAGTTAAAGACTCAAGACCAGAAGTGAACAAATAACTTGAAGTCTTCTTAATATGAACTGTTGTCGACGAAGTCTCAAATGTGATACATCGAGGAGCGGGCGTTTTGGATAGTTTGCAAAGAGGTC